CACATATAAAGGTTCTCTGACGAATACTGATTTACTTTTAGAGTGATTCTGGGCACAGGCTGATAAAAAAAAAGAGAAAGAAGTTCGTTATTATAAATATGATGTTTGAAAAAAAAGTGATAGTGTGGTTGACAATAATGCTCAAAAGAGAACACTGCTTGACATTTTGAATGTGCTATGTCACATCGGTTTTTATTGAGATTTCCTATGCATTTTTTGCATCTTTTTCGTCAAATAATGTATCTAGATTCTGTGTTCTTCGACAGAAATGTAGAACAATAAACTAGGTCAGAAATTCTGTATACTGTGTGTATTACATTGACTGCGCATTATTTCTAAATTTATAATATGTGGAGTATGTCTAAGATTCACTTGACAAACGTGTTGTTCAAAAGTTGAATCCTCATTTGAAAATCTCAGAAATTCGAAACTTCCTTAAAAGGAATGGAACAAATAAACTCACCAAAGTATTATCAATGGTTTGGAGGAGAAAATACGTTAAATTTATGTAAAATATAGAGTCTGAAGAGAATTTTTCTTATCTCTGTCAATCTCAGTTAATCTTTATTTATATAAGAAGGAACACTTTTCGAGATTCATTATATTTGCTCTACGAAGCCTTTTTTTATCTCCTTTTTCATACTGTGTTTTTCCCTATGGAGAAATCTGGATAACTTTGCATAAGAAATGTACTGTATCTTTGCTAAATAAGAATAAATTTATTTTCTCCACAACTTAAATTCTTCCAAAAATGACGTTATACCTTAGCAATTTCAAATTTATCCAACAGTTTATTTCGTATTCAATTCGAAGTTGCTTTCCTTTAATTGCTACAATAATTTCCAATTGTAAGATAGATCTCTATTAAATAAAACACAAATATAATATCACTCAACTAGTAATTAATAAAAATATCATTTTTGATAAATAATTAAGGTATTTCCTAATTTGATGTAAAATAACTCCAAATAATAATATAAAATTATAAGCGAAGTGTCAGAAATATCCTAGTAAATTCTTCATTTAAAATTTTAATATTTATTTTAAAAATGCACTACACATGTTGAATTAATTAATTTAATAATTCACAAAATTTTTCTCTATTCCGTAATTCACTATTTTTAGAAAAAATCTGTAAGTATTGAAAAATGCAACGTCATCACTTTGAATGTTAAAATACATAAACGATAAATAATGTAACCAAAACTGTGAAAAAAACGTGTGTGCTTGTTTACCATAGGTACTTTACAGCATAATGATTAGATTAAAAATGTATCGAATATCCTTATGATAAACCTGTAGAATTCTTAAATACCTTTATTTATTTTCTACATAAATATCATATGCAGATTAGGACTAAATGTCAGCTCACCCAACTTCATGCTTTAAAAAATAAAACGTTTTAAAAGTGTACTTTGTATTAGCAAACATTAAGGTGAATCATATGTATTCAACGTAAGCCATGCTGATCCATTGATTCTGACTGGATGCAGAGTGAATGATTACGTAAAACTAGTGTAACTCACTGTTCAAATAAAGAACAGTTAAGTTTTATCCTTGTATGACGTAAGACGCGTAATCAGCTGTACAGACAGCATTTTTTCCCAACCGTGATTCAATGATAAATTGTATTTAGGTTTGTCTACAGTTCACATAGAGTTAAAACATATCTTCTATTTATTTGTTATAAGTATCAATTTGACAATAAAGTTGTGTTTTCTTGTCTGGCAATAAAGTTCTTATCAAATAAAATTTCACGTAACTGGGTTCTTGCACGTACTCGGTTAGGAATGTGTGTAGTAATGTAAAATATTTAAGAGCAATGGAATGTTAGAAATGCATTTTTTGTTGTAATAAATAAAATTCCTTTTGAGAAAACTTTTAAACAAATATAACTCGAGTATTAGCGTATAAAAATGGAATTTAATCTTTTATATCGAATTGGTATCGAATATTGGATAACAAGGACGATAGATTCCTGTACAAAAACAAAATATAAATTGTTTTCTACGATGATTTAAAAACTTATTAGGTAAAATAAGCCAGCTAAAATTGATAGAATGATTTGTCTAAATATAACCAATATTATCACTATTATTTGGATTCAACAGAAGTTTATTTTGCTTTTATTCTTAGAAAGAGTCCGGAAAAAACCCATAAAGTACGAACTTTGCACTATGATATCAATAAGCTTCATAATTATAGCAATTTCGTAAGTAAACAATTTTGGACACTAACATTAGAATAAATTTGAATTTGATTTCGGAACCTGTTTCTGAAAGAGGAACCAAATATCTCTATCTCTACTCGCCAAGAGTGATTGAGTGAGTAAGTGTTTATTAACGTCGCACTACAAAGTAACACAAGGGTTACTGGTAGAATGTCAAAGGGAACCTAGCTCATCCGTAATGGGGTTTATAGCTCCAACCCGTCCCACGGGAAACAACCAACCCCGTGTCCAATATTTATTGAACAAAATCTTAATTAACATTTTTTACATAGTTAATTTACATAATACAAATTAAAGGTAAATTATTGAAATACATGTGTAATTGCATAATACAAATATATAAAGCTAACAACAAAACAAAAAAGCATAAAGAGTAAGGGAAGGAAAAATGATACTTCCCCCTCCCCTTAATTTGTCCTTCAGTTTTGAAAAAATGAATCAGTATCGGAAGGAAGGTGATTCATTTTAGAACCCCCCCTTCCCCTCTTTTTTTTAAAAAAAAAATTTAAAGGAAGAAGGCAGCAGAAAAAAATAAATTGAATTGATTTCGAGATAACTTTTGCTATTATTTTAAAACAGGAAATAAACTTTATATGAATACTCGCACTGTAAGCTAAAGAGCTAAGCCATAAAACTACCTCAAATATTGTGAGAAACATAAATAGGGTCTAAAAATTGAGGTCACTTTTTCGAACTGCCACACCACGCCAAATGAAGAGCTTCGAGTCTCGACAAATTTAACGTGCAGCAGCTCCTCTACATGGAAGGTTTCCAGCACGGCACTAAGCTCGAATTCATGACATGCTGGTCAAAAGTCCACGACCATAACCACTAAGCTACCACGGCCTCTCTACTCACCAAAAAGGACATTATTCAAATATTAAAATATATGTATTATTCATAAACAGCATTTTACTGAATACAGCAATACAGAGAATGACTACTTCATAGAGTTTACCAACTTATCCAAAAGGGAGCACTTCTGAGAATTTAATCGATCGTTGTACGTCTATGTTATTACTTAAAAGGATCTCTGTTAATGCTAAGTATGATTAACATATATGGAAAGCGCGTTGTTTGAACAGTTAAAGGACGAGAATTCCTCTATTCTCTAATGAGAGGGAGTTCCTGTTGATTGACTTGAATATACAGAAAGCGTATAGTGAAATCAATGGCGCAGATTGATGATTCAATAAATGGTTATATTGTCCCTTTCAGTCATGTAGGAAGGGATGATTATTATGGCCCTGTAGCTTCATATGGACTGAATTTATTATGTTTGGTATTGTACTCGATGTGTCAGTAGCTAGATATTGGAACGTCTTGGTAAATCCCCCCTCCCCCCGCATCTATCTCAATGAAAATACCAGTTAACAAACTTTTAAATGAATGAATTTCTCTAAAAGTGTTAAGTATAAAAAGGATTCTAAACCTAAAAAAAGTTTATGGAAAATACTACATCTAGTGTTCAAGATAAGATACCAATTCGTGAAAGAGAATAAGCAATTTCTTGATTTTAAAACTATGAGTGCAAAAAATTATAACAGACATAGAGGTTTAGAGATAAATAGAGTAAAGTAGCACAAAAAAAAAGAATTTGTTTCTGTATTTTAATTTCTGTTAAACATGGGCTTATTCAAATCATTTAAATGATACTTAGAATGTAAATTAGAATGACAAGATTTTTCAATTGTAGCAAAACTATACAAAAATATAATCAAACCAAAAACAACAAACTTTCATTTTTAGAATGTGAAAAATTTCTTAGTTGCCTTTCAATATTATTAATGCAAGTATTAAGATTGCATTTCTCATAAATAAGCTTTTAATAATTCAAGCATTTGCATTCAAATAAGAAAAAGGATAAAGCCAATACAATCTAATTTTAAATACAAGTGAACATTATTTTTTTTTTGTCATCTTATTTTTATAAATGGCAAATGCATATATATATATATGTATAAAAACTATATTTTTCTAAGGAAATATACTAATTCGATTGTGTAATTTTTAAAAAACGCAACAAATAAATATTTCCTTATTGAGTGTCCTATGAATCACACAGTGCGGATATCTTTTGATTTGATTATTTATTAACGTATCATTTCAAAGCAACACGACGGTTATTGAGAACGGACCCCGTAATTCTGAGCCTCGATCAAGTGACGAGGATAATTCTTGACAATTATCCTCGAGGATAATTCCTCTCAACTTCCACACCATGCCAACGGAGGACTTTAAACTTCGGCAGATTCAACGTGCAAGAGCCCCTCTATCAGGTGGGTCTTTGGTGGCACCATATTCGACTCAAATAAACCCGTGAATAATGACCATGACCACGCGGCTCCAGCGGCTGAAACAAATATCTTTTGCGTCTCCTTTTGCTAAATTAGATTGCAATGTCGATAGGAGAAAATCTAATCCAAACTTACAAATTTGCTCTCTGTGATAGAAAATTATGTGCATAGCATTATAAAACGTAACAAGTAATATAAAAAAATTAAATCAATTCCTACTTAGGTCAACAAAGAAAATTTTATTTTAGTTACTTTTTATTAAATAATTACAATTAATGTAAATATGTATAGACATAAGATAAAATCACAACATTACGTGACAAAGTGTATTTCCTTGCAATTTTCCATTTTCCTTTCTATATATGGTGTTGGACTATTTTTTTTTGTTTGTTACTATTTATTCATTAATTTAATTTAATTATTTCTATGTAATAGTATAGTAAAAAAAGAAGCCACCTCCTCAGAAAGTAATCCATCCCAGGTGGAATTCGAACCCACACATTTTGGATTAGAAGTCCAACGCGCTATCCATTGCTTTACAGGGACACAAAGAACGATTTTCCTTTCTATATATGTTGGCGGACTATTATTTTTGTTTGTTACTATTTATTCATTTTTTAATTTAATTAATGAATTAATATTTGAAAAAAGTGTATTAGCATCAAGTGTGTGTGTCATCCACTACAAGTTTTAAAAAAATGTATTTGAACTTGAAGGAATGAATAGAAAGTATTTTATTAACGATTGAAAATTTGAACGAGATATATTTAGAGAGAGAGCGAACAAATAGTAGGAATTGAAAAATGAATGATATATATCAACGTTTATCTACCTTAAATATTTTTAAAAACTAGTTTAGTGAATATAAAATAATTCTTGCTGATTATAAACAATACCCTTCCAGTTAGCCTTTTGCTAATGGTACTCAAAGGAATTTCTTGAAAAATACCTAAGCGGTAAACTTGAATTTGACGAGTTTTCTGAACTATTTTTAAAAAGCGTCTAATAATCATTAAAATTGCTCAGATTTCAAAGATTATCTTTAATTTAGAACACATCACTAACGATTCACATACATGACAAGAAAATAAAATCTAACGAAGATTTATGAACGATGCTGTAATCTGAACTTCGCTAATAAAGCTAAATGTGTCGTACGAGTGGTACGAAATTAGAGTGCTTTTACCTAATAGCTTGGATTCTCCTCTCCCTTTAGCAGTGGTCATTAAGTCAAGTAGGACAAGGTTCCTCCTTGAAAAGGTATGTCAGTAGAATTCGGTCTTGTTAGCACAGATACTTAACACTTTTCTAGTTAGGATTTGTGTGGTACATAGCGCAGCTGTACGCATAATGTAACCTTTTTTTTTACTGATTTAAAGGAGTAATTTAGCTGTTGGCTTGGAAACTGACTTTTCCTCTCAACTTCGAATTTGTGGTTTCTCCATGGAGTATCTTTAAAGCCAGTATGCGAAGAATTCGGGTAATAGAACAATAAAAGATACCATTATTTCGTTATTTACTCTTAATTATCTGATCACGCTTAATAGTTTCACAGTTCTTAAAAATTAAAAGCAGAAGCACATGCATTTAACATATAAAATGTTATACTGAAGAAGCTACGAGATTAAAGAGATTTTCTGATATTTTGCTGATTCCGGGAGGATAATCAAGATTAACACGTAAAATAGCTTTCATTTTAGTTATTAGCATCGCCATCTACATTTTATTTCGAGATTAAAAAGGAAATAAAATGGGGATGAAATACTGGGATGAAAGAAAATTTTATTGAATCCTAGCTGTATTATTTACTTTTATTTGTTAAAAATAGTCCCATTTATGGATATTGAGATTAACCAATAGATTAAAATGCATTCGCATTCAGCCAATACAGAGTGGTATCAGTAAAAAGATAACACCGGGAGGAAATAATATGAGAATATCAAAAAATAATGTGGAAGATTTAGAGAGAAGAAAAAACAGAGGAAGAGAAAAATTTGAATGAAAAAGAAAGATTTTCATTATTTTAACTAAAAGTTGCCATTAAAAGTTACCAGAAAAATTTCGAAGTGAATCAGGATTATTTTATAATTACTTCATTCAAATATAAAAAAATAATCACAATTAAGAAAATAGTGCATATAAATAAAAAATATATACAAAAAATCTGGGATTTGAATAGTAAAAAGGGATATACGATCCACGTTGTTCCAAAATCATGTAAAGTGCAAAATATAAAAAACTATTCAGTTCTAAAAACCGAGTAATTAGAAATGAAAAATTTATTCTATAAATTTTATATATGTATATTTACATTTATTTAATTAATATTTATATATTTAATTTTTATATATTTAGTATTTATATATTTGATATTTATATATTTAATTTTTATATATTTAGTATTTATATATTTAATATTTATATATTTAATATTTATATATCTAATATTTATATACTTAATATTTATATATTTAATATTTATATACTTAATATATATTATTTATATATTTAATATTTATATACTTAATATATATTATTTATATATTTAATACGTATTTATGTATTTAACATTTATATATTCAACATTATTTTTAAATTCACACGTTTCAATTAATAACTATCATAACTGTTATATAATTAGTAAAGCATATTTATTGTCTTAATAAAAGATAAAAAAACCCTTTTTAAACTAAAAATACTAGAACAAATATTAATTAATAACTAATTTTCACTTATTGATAGTAAATATATTTCTTTATAGAGAGAGGAATCGAAATCACCGCCTTTTACTAAAAGAAACTATCATATTCACACCATGTTTGAATTCAATAAAGATCTTTGTCCATTTTATAATAATTTTGGAAAAAGATGAATTATTTTCTAAAACATTTTAAGATATTGACTTTTTTGTTGGAAAATTTATTATTTATTTATTGCATTTTTCTTGATTTTGCAAGTACTTTCTATAATTACGTATTGGTACCCCTACATCTAAACAAATCTTCAGATCTGGTTAAATTTTACAGCGCGTTCTGCATACAAAATAATTTTCTAAACTTACACTTAGTTTGAGACATTCAAAAATAGTACTGGCTGTTAATTGAGGGATTTTATCTCATCCTTTTGTGAAATAATAAATTCAAAATAGTGTTAGATTAAACCAGATATGTAAAAAATGAACCGTAAAATTTTTTAAAATTTCAAAACCGTGTAAAAAAGAATCATAACAAGAGTTATACTCGTACACATCATTAACTAAAACTGTTGTTTTTGTGAAAGACACACTTCCTTAAGACTAATATATTCGAAGAAAATTGTTTGCTTATAATTATCGTGAAATTAAATTAATATAATCCAAGGATAGTGACTATGACAAACAAAAATAATATTTGCTTAAACTTCTAGAAAATTATGATAATTTTCATTTCCCAACAATATCGTTATTTGGTTCAATTTTCTTAGACATTTTCCTTAAAAATGCATTGAATTACTTTTTTTAGATTAATGAGGAAAATATATATCAAGGTCATAAGCGAAATTTAATCAGAAAGAATCTTTTACAGCATTTTCTAATTGACATAAAAATAGTATTATATTGTAGTATATTTAAACTTTTTTTTTACTAAAAATATTTATAAGGCGTATATTTTATACTTACTTGTCCAAGAATTTTTTCTTTCTCTTGTCTAAGTTGTTCTTCCATTTCCATATACAAAGATTGTACCTGAGTTTCATGATCCTCTTTACGACTGAATAAAGAAATAAATCATTTTTTAAATAAACAGGAAAACTTTTCAATAATTGAATAATTCTTTCTATGTAAATAAAAATAAATAAATAGATAGTGTGCATCCATTCCAATTTTTTTAAATAAATTATTCTGCATTACGAGTGTGGAAATACTGCAAAGGCAATCATATATAACAAACTTGAATACTGAAGCGATAGTTAACATATAATAGGATTTCGTTATATCTGTATATATTTCTATATATATTTGTGTGTAAAGCAAGTAAAAACAGTGTAAAAGAGGGTTAAATTTTCTTTACAGATAATATAGAGTAATGTTTGAGAGCTGTTAAATTATGTCGAATGTGAGTGAGTGAATACTAACGTCGCACTGTTCAGCTACACGAGGGCTTTTGGCAACGGACCTCGTAATTTTGAACCATGGTCATGTGACGAGGACGACACCTAAGCTGGCACCCCCTCTCCTAACTAACACACCCTACCAACGGGAGGACGTTTGAGCTCTCGACAATTTAACGTGCATCTTACCCCTACACGGCGGGTCTTTAGTGGTAATGGGCTCGAACTCATGATACGCCTGCCGGATCTGATACCTTGACCACTAGGCTACTGCGGCCCTTAATTGTGTAGGAAAAAAAGAAGGACAGGAAATGATTTTCAAACTATCAGATATTCGAATTTTATCGATGTATTACTGCATAATCTTACGGCACTCGAAATCTGTCTTTTGTGGTACAAATGCGTAACTAATGGATCTAAAAACAAATAAAATGAGCGTTATATGAAAATTTAAAAATATGCACATGAATTACACATCCTCAATTCAAACATTGACATATATAACGCTTAGCAGCTATTCTTTACGATATGCTGTTGCAAATACACTAATAGAGAACGACTTATTACCAATCTATTTCATTGTTTAGCCTAATTTTTTATAATAGTCAGGCATTCGAAACAGTGTCTGTTCTACTATCTATACATATTCTTCCCAATTAGCGGGAAATTCGGTAGCACTATGTGTAATGCAAACTGTTTTTGGAAGTAATCAAGTACTTTTTGTTACTTTTTGACCCTTGCAGTATTTTTATAAAAGCTTATTTTCTTACATAAACATTGTATAAAGTATTTTCTTTGAAATAGATTTTTGCTCACAAAAAATAGATATATATATTCTATTCAAGCGAAGAACCAATTCATTAAATACAATATTTCCCAGAGAATAATTCTAACTAAACAAACACAAATGCATCACAGTAACAGTTAATAATTACGCATTTTTAAAGATTTTTGCAAAGTATATCCATTTATCTAATACAAAAAGGTAAAAAGCACTTTAATTAGATACGGATAATAAATAAAAAGTATAAGTAAAAAGACAGTTTTCTTTCATTAAATTTATCAACAATTTAGATTACAAATATCTTTAACAAGAAAAGAGAGATTTTAAAGTATATAAAAATACTAAAGTTGAATATTTGAACACTTTTAGAATACTATCGTAAGATTACTTTACTTTTACCACATGTTAATTATTATCTATATACACTCATGTCCATAAATTAAGAATAATGAAGTTCAGGCAAAGAAAGAGACAGAAGCAAAACAAATTTGACTTATTTGTAAAGTCTATTTATTAAACAAAAGGTAAAGAGCAAAAAGATGCTATATCTTTGACATAATTAATAAAAATTGCGATTTTTACTCTCTGGAGCAAATTTCAAAAAGGAACCTATTTACAAAAAAACAGTATAACATGGTTAGTATGTTAATACGGAGTATGTGTCCCGGACAAT